AGAGTACAGATAGCCCATTGTGTAGCTATGTGCTTAATTACAAACAAGCATACACTGACATATGCCTTATTATAGTTATGCCTAGGTACTAATTAAAAAGTACATACTATAATAAATTTACGCTGTCATTGTTTTCGCCTTGGAGGTGGAGTTAATACATTGCAGACGAAGTGAGTATTTTTGCATATTATGCGTATATTAATGGATTCTACATAAGACTTGTTAACTATAATTGCGAATGGCGTCTCTGTATTTGTGCCTACCGTGTCCGATGTCTTAAAATTTAATCAGACATTATACTGTTGTGACGGCATTTTTGAACGATATTTGCACAGTCTAGTTTGCAGAAATTTACTACTTTACTATATTCATGAACATGATCCTGAAGAGGGAAGAAGAAACAGTGTTTTAAACATTTTTAGCCCTGATTTCGTGAACTTTTCGCTAACATTTATCAGTTGAAAATAGACACCGTAAAGGAGGGAAGAAGAGGTCTAAATTGCACCTCACCCCCACCCCCAGGTTGCGATGGCCGACGAACAAAAATGCGACCAAAATACCGATCCAGACCAGCACGTTTGCAGATATTTTGTCTTTCAACAGATATTTATGACATAAACACGGGTGATTATTCACCATGTATACCCAACATGAAATAAACCAATATTTTTGTGTAAGTAATCAAATTTTGCAATTTGAAATTCTTACAAGTATTTGCATTTTGTATTCAACAATTTGGTAATCATTATTATAAAGTGAATGTCACAAAATACTTTCCTTAACAATCCATATATGTCATAAAATTTCTTATTAATTTTCTTTCAACTAAAACTAAATCAAACAAACTAGCCAACTGTTAAGTGCTAAATAGATATGTAAAGTAGTGTTCTGCGAGCTTATTTGAAAAATAAAAGATAAGCAAATCATACACAAAGCAAAATCATAATCCTACTATATACTAAAATCATTTGTCCATCCATAACACACTTGTTACAAACGCTTCTGGAACTAAATATTAGTGGTGACCCAATTTTTAGTTTTACTCTGGCTACGCCCCTGCTGAAAATGAAAATGTAAAACTAACGTCTGCGCATAAAGATGTGAAATTAAGGCCTGTGCATGAATTTGTCAAACTAGGGCCTGTGCATAGAGATGTGAAATTAAGGCCTACGAATTAAGAAGTGAAATTAAGGCTTGGGCATGTGTACATGAAACCAAGGCTTGGTAATCTATTTACTGGGCAGATACATTTTAGCCAAACAAGCTACTTAATCTGTTAAATGCCATAAAATTCATTTCTAACAAAAAATGTGAAAATATTTTTACACTTACGCTGTAGCTCAAGCTAAAGACATTAAAAGTTTTAACATTTGAAAATTACATAGAACCTGAGTTGGCCTTTCTAACTGTAACGTGTTTCATAAGATAACTAGTCTTTTAAAAGTATAGTAAGTTATTCAATTCCATCAGCAATCTCACTGACGTTATTTTTGTAGGTGACTGAGGCCGGAGAGCAGACTCTACCAAGTTGGCTTTACTTTGACAAGTATAATGGCACATTTCAAGGTGTCCCCTCCGAGGCTGACCTAGGACAATATTACATCAGTGTTAAAGCAATAGGTCCTTGCAGCGTTCAAGGTAAGGTATATCCACTCTGTTCCGTCTGTTCATCTAAGAATTTATCATTTATTAGAGTTTCAATTTTATTAATATTTGGTGTTTTCAGAACTAAAAACAGTAAACGACAATCACATCTCAACATCTTATTTCATGTTTTATCTTTCAAGACATTTTTGTAATTGTTGATTTTGCATTCTATTTACTTGGTTCTGCTTTCCAAAATACTCTTATAATTTCATTTTCAGAGAAAACTTACAGTAGAGAATACTGCAAGACATGGAAAAAATAACGAAAAAAAAATGTTAAAAACACACGTCTGTAACAAAAAATATTTCTATTATTACGTTACGTGCGTGACCTGCCCGAAACGTATCAAATAATAATAATATGTGTGTGTGTTTTTCTATATAGCAAAGCCACATCGGGCTATCTGCTGTGTCCACCGAGGGAAATCGAACTCCTGATATTAGCGTTGTAAATCCGTGGACTTACCGCTGTCTCAGCGGGGGACAGTAATAATAACGTTTTTGTTATAGACATGTGTTTTTAACATTTTTTAAAAATTAATTAGTAATGTACTTTTCAACATGATTATTATTTTTTTTAAGTTTCTTAAAGTCTCTTATGTATTTTCTATGTAAAATCGTTGTTTTATTTCTAAAAACTTTTTTTCCATTCAACCCCCTTCCTTTTATCCCGCGGTAAGTTAGTTTACCGACTTACAACGTAATAATCCAGGGTTCGATTTCTCGCGGTGTACATAGTTCTGAAAGTTGATAGTATGTCTTTGTGCTGAAATAAACAGACAAACTTTCTTCCCTTTGACATAAATCACTGTAACATACTTTGTAACTGCCATAAAATGTTTTTGCAAGGTAAGCCAATTACAAAACTACTGACTCTTACGACATCGTATGAATAAATCACAAAACTATTGACTCTTACAACGTCATATGAACCAATCACAAAGCTACTAACTCTTAAGACGTCATATGAATAAATCACAAAAACTATTGACTCTTACAATACTATATGAGCCAATCACAAAGCTACTGACTCTTAAGACGTCATATGAACCAATCACAAAGCTACTAACTCTTAAGACGTCATATGAATAAATCACAAAAACTATTGACTCTTACAATACTATATGAGCCAATCACAAAGCTACTGACTCTTAAGACGTCATATGAATAAATCACAAAAACTATTGACTCTTACAATACTATATGAGCCAATCGCAATACTACTGACTCTTACGATATTATATGAGCCAATCACAATACTACTGACTCTTACAATACTATATGAGCCAATCGCAATACTACTGACTCTTACGATATTATATGAGCCAATCACAATACTACTGACTCTTACGTTATTATATGAGCCAATCATAATACTACTGACTTTAATGACATCATTTAAAATCATGTGATCAATGTTTCGCATTTTGTTTATTCCATGCTTTTAGAAGTATAAAACTCGTGTATTTAATTTAAAAAGAAGTTAAAATATGGTTAGGCAACTTTAAATATATTAATATTTGTTTCATCACGTAACGGCAATATACCACCTAGTTTTGTTGATCCAAAACCAAACATTTTTCGTTCGAGTAGAGAAACATTTGTTGTTATATATTGAAGCACATTTGAACTTTTATAAGAACGTATAGTTATTCACTTAAATAAAATTGTAACATCTGTGATATAAATCATGCAATATTTTGCACTTGTTTAATATAATTCGCACATTTAAGGTGATTATATTGGATAGTTAAATAATCTTAAATTATTGTGCAATTTCAAACAAAGCCACTAAATCTCATTGCTATTTGAAAAAAAAAAGTCTTCCCCTTGGGTAGCTAAAAGAACTCAACAAAGAGAATTTCTCGTATCTTTGCATGAAAAAATAGAATTACATATTAATTTACGTATTTATTTAATTTTTTGCATTTTTTTTTCCTTTAGAGGATAGAATCTCGATTGAAGTTATTTATATAGTTATGTTTCATCGTTTATATAGTATAATTTTAAGATTTTCAAAATGTTTTCTTTTATATGAATCATATATATATATATTATATTCTGACAGTTTTTCAGTTACCGAGAATTATCAGTGTATTTTATATTACTGGATTTTTTTGGGGGTAGTATATTTTAAAAGATGGTGTTGAGTGAATTGCTCTTAGAACGTTAAACATACTAAATGTGAATTTCATCACAAAAAAATATCTCTTAACCACAAGTATATTTTGCATACAGGCACATTATCAACTGATCAAGACGTCTTCTCCATTGAAGTGGTAGAAGAACACCCCTCCATGACAGCAGCTGTTCCATTGCCAGATCTCACTACTGAATCTCTCCATTGTCCTTCTGGAGCTCCTGTCACCATAACTTCACTGATGCTTGATGCTAACTTGGAAGAAATTCCTCCCACCACAAGAGTTATTTTGCTGTCAAAAATGGCCACCTTTTTAGATTTACCAATAGATTTACTAAAGCTGGCATCACTAGGTACTGATCAAAAGATTCCCGAAGACTCTGCTGTATTGGCAGGCGCAGGAACTCTAAAGAGACGTCAAGAAATTGGAGTAATGCTTCAATGGCAGGTTGGCTGTTCAGGGGAAATTCATCATGACCACAACAACAGAATATCTAAGCTTGAAAGAGCAGTAGAAGATGGTGTTCTGGCAACACTTCTAGGTTTTCCCGTAATTGGTTGGCAAGTAGTTGCCAACCAACCAAAAATGACACGCAGAGAAAAACGACAAGTTGCAATCCGAGGAACCCCAGTGTTAGAACCTACTCAACCAACTAGGTGGCAGGTATTGCCAAAATATGTAGAAGAGGAAGAACTGACAATAGAAACCGAATTTCCACAATCTAGAATAATCCCAACTATGATATCACCCACCTACAACTCCCCTTCTCATCACCACCGACACCATCACGGTGAACAGTTGATACATAAAGAAATTGTGATCCCACCAACTATTCATTATCATATGGCTCCTACTACTTGGCCAAGCTCACCCTTCCCCACTCCAGTATACCAGCCTGATATACCCACCATTTATGTTCCTCCGTCACTCATAGAGTCATCAGAACCAAGTAGAAATCTACCTGAAGAATTAACTCCAGTTGGCCATTTGTTATCCTCCCTTACACAAGCAAATATTATTAGTAAGCCCACGGAAGCATTGCCGATACCATCAAGAACGTTTGCTCTTACATCATCAGTTGTGCCATTTGACATCAAGCCAACCACTACACAAATGTCTGAAACATCAAAAATAAAAGTGAATCACAAACCAACTATAGAGAAGCGTGTAAAAAAGCTATCTATGGTAGCTGGCTCCATATGGAGCTACCATATCCCAGCTGATACTTTTCTAGATGTTGAAGATGGCAATACACGCCATCTCAAGCTTATCTTCATGACTGGTGAAAGAACAGCAATTCCATCTAGCTCTTGGATTCAATTTGACCCTGCAAATCAGACGCTGTATGCTCTTCCTTTAAAAGACAATATTGGAAAGTATGAATTTATTTTAGAGGCAATGGACAGTGAAGGGATGACAACACATGACCGTCTAGAGATTCACGTTAGGCAGCACCCTTCAGCTCGGGCTATTCATCACGAGTTCAGTATGATCCTAAAATACAAAAAATGGCAGTATCGATTGGCTATTGATTGGCAGATTGAAGTAGTTCAAAGGTTGGCTAAATTGTATGGTGATACACATACCAGAAATGTCAATGTCCAGTCTATCTCTTTGGAACCAGTAACATTAACATGGACAAACTTTACACTCCCTAAGTATCCTTGCCCTCGTGAAAATATTACGGAGTTGATGAACAAAATTATTGCAGATGATGAAGGTCATCCTACAAAAGCACTTCGAAAGGAGATGGGTGATGACTTGGATGTTCAGAAAGTAACAGTTAACTTCCTTGGGGTTTGCCATCATCCTATAAGCTCTACCCCAACACATAAAAACTTTGAACCCATGTTACGTAATCCTATTGAACAAATAAATGGTACTGTTGGAGAAATTTTGCGTTTCAGGGTGCCAGATGACACATTTTATGATTTTGAAGATGGTAGTACTCGGTACTTAAAGCTGACTTTCCTCACCATTGATAATATTAACCCTCCCAAATCTCTTTGGGTGCAGTTTGATGCAAAGTCTCAGGAATTATATGGCCTTCCCTTTGATAATGATATGGGCCGCCATGAATTTCAGATGGTTGCCATGGATGAACATGGAAAGGAAGTTAACGATGCATTTGTTATTGTAATACATCAAAGACCACCTAGAAAACGAAGTGTTGAATTCAGTTTGCATATCGAATATGATTTTGAGAACTTTGACCACGACACGGGGAAAAAAGTATTAGTAGCTTGGAAGCTGGCACGTCTTTTTGGAGACTCAGACCCTCGTTACATCACAGTGACTTCCATCAGCAAAGGTTCTGTTGTGTATGCCTGGACAAATAATACTTTACCACACAATCCATGTCCAAAGAACACCATCAGTAATTTAGTAAAGTATTTGTTCAATGAGAATGGCACAATTTCCTCACGGCTCATAAATGCTATGAATCCAGAGTTTAGAATCACAAAAGCTGATGCCATGCCACTTGGAATATGCCTGGGGGCAGTAACACCAACTTCTGTGACAGTTACACCAACACCAGAAGTTAAAGAAGCTGAGGCAACAGGCACTAGCAATGATGACATTTACATCACTACCATCATTCCGGCAGTTGTTATAGCTGTAATGCTAGTCATTGCTGCCCTAGTGGCATTTTTTCTCTATCGCAAGAAGCGGAAAGGCAAGATGACGATGCAAGACAACAGCACTTTTATCAGTAAAGGAATTCCTATTATTTTTGCTGACGAGCTAGAAGAGAAACCAGATCCAGCAAAGCCACCAGTCATCATGAAAAATGAGAGACCACCTTTGGCACCACCTGACTATCCACGATCATCAAGAGGAAGCAGCAGAGATACCACTCCACAGACAGAGAGAAAAGAAACAGCTAATCACAGTGTAGACCTGCATCCTGACACCATCTCCTCCCCTCCATATCAACCCCCTCCTCCTTTCACCACAAATCGTGACAACAAAAACTTTAGACCTAAAACAACTCCTACCTTCAGGCAGCCTCCTCCTTATGTACCTCCTTAAGTTAATTTCTAGAGTTATAGGGGGCGTATTGTGCCTTCATCAGATAGATCTTTCCTGCACTGTTGTCATGTTTGAATCCCAAGCTTTTACTTTGGTCACTAACTAGTACTCAAAAATTGTTTCCTTAGTAGCTAAGTATTTGTATTTATTGCTTAACTCGTATCATCTTTATTGTTAAAACAAGATTGTAGGATACTGAAGAATTCACTTTGTTGTGACTAAAAATTTAAACTTGATTCATGTTTCATTTATCCGTACACTCTGAAATAGGTATTTTACATGATTTAAACAAAACATCATCGTAACTAAATGTGAAACCAAGCGTCTGCAGATACTCTGATCTCAGTATTTATAAAAGAAAGGTAATAATTTTATACCTCTATGTGCTAAATAAATCAAATTATGTTTATTAACTTATTAAATTTAGTAAAAACTAGGGGCTCGTGATATGAATAAAATTTGTTTTAACATATTATATACATTTACGTCATGTGACTTATAAGGGAAAGCACTGATCATATGATTTATTTATTATTAATGCAGTAACTTTGCATACATATTCTTATCATAGATTATGGCCTGGATCAAAATACAAGGTAAATTTGCATTAGTATGCAAATAGAAGTATTCATTTTGCATCATGGCTGATCCAAGATACTTGGACTTACAATGAAGACTACGCAGAGGATTAATTTGCACGTTGAATTTAAAAAAACAAAAACGGATCAATATACATGACTAATATATTGCTTTATGCTTACTATTTTTATGGTTGATAAAACTGGCTTTACATAATGGCTGAGTCAAAATATAATTTGTAGTTTCGTAAAAATTCAAGCGTAAATGTTGTGAGTTTTATGTGGTTCAGTGGAAGTGTCATTTATACATCCTTGTCTATAACAATACATATAACATCTTGATATATATATAAATAATTTGCATATTTAAATACGTAGGATGTATAAATAAAAGCAGGCTCCTCAGTTGTGGGTCTTAACCTTTACAGACTTCACTTATTCTTTGCAATGGAGAGTAAAATTATTTTTCACTGTCACTTTACTGATCCTTCTCATTTTATATCCACTACTGATCCACTAACTTATTAGTCAATCCCTCCCTACTATGATTATCAGCATTACAAATTCAACATGATACCGACGACTATTATTTTCTAACTATTCCATAATTTTACAGTTATTGACCTACTTATTTGACATGGTATAGGAATTAGTTGATATTGATGGTAAAAGTTAAGATACGCATGTAAACGTCTATGTAAAAAAAAAAAGATATATTGTATAGTTTGATGATTTTCAAAAAACATATAGAACATTATAAGTCTTATTACTAAATCTTTTGGAAAGTTCACATGCTCATAACATTTTGTTTTATTTCCATTTTAAATGTAAATAGAGCTAGGAAGAAAATGTCTTTTATTACTGTCATAAGAAAATATAATACCCCATCCTAATTATTATATATGTGCTATGCCGTATATATAAATATATATATGTTTTAATCTTTAACAATTAAAAGTAACTCATCATAATTATGTACCAGATGTTAGTCGATTGTGAATAGTGAGTGCAATTTTTTGTATTATATATTGTTGTGAATGGAGAATATTCCTCGAACTTGCTGCTATTCAGTCAAATAAATATTTATCGACATTGTGCAAAATATAGTTATTCCCATTTATCCATGCATCAATCTATTAAGCGCACGTGTGTGAAATCATTTGACTCGGAGAGTAACATCCTCAGTATAAACATCCAATTGAAAAAAAAAGAACGAAAGAAAAACGCCTTGTGACAAATCGTGTATATATTAGGGATAGGCAATCTTGTAAAATAAGTGAGCTTCGTAACTTTCACTTTAGAGGTACTTAAAGACGCTAAATTAGGGAACAACAATATATGCCTAACAGTTTCTAAGCTTTTTTTCACATATTTTGCTAGTCTGGGGAATGAAAAAGGTTGGGATCCATTTGTACAGCTTTTTAGTTGGCCAGAGCAATGTTTTAGTTTTTTGTTAATTAAGAAACTGTTTCCGAACCACTGGTTAGACTTTTCGACTGGCTAGTGCAATGCTTTACAACCTTTGGTTTGGCTTTTCTGCTGGTTATGGCATTGTTTCTGGACCATTGTTCTAACTTTTCTGTTCCCTAGTGCGCTGTTTTTCAAACACTGATCTAGCTTTGCTGCTGGTTAGAGCTCTGTTTTGAACCACTGGTCTAACTTTTTTATGGCTATAGCACAGGTTTGCTTTGGTCTACCCACATCATGAAAATAATACTTAAACCAAGACTTGTAGTTACATTTTTCACTCGGAGACTTTTCGGTCATCAAATTAACTGGACTACTCAGCCTTGTTATGTAGTGTATTTGCCGTTCTTAGATTAATATGGTATTCATTTCTAAATGAAATATAGTTGTACCTTTTCTAAGTTAAACTTTATGTTTACATTGTTTATTTTTAACATGAACAATGATTCTAGCCATAACTATGTGTTAATAAAATTATAAATAGCAGCTTGGATAACCACTCACGTGCATTGTCACATATGTCATGCTTCAGCCCGAGACAAGTGACTTACTGAATCTTGAAATAAATATCGACACATTCAAATTGTGTAATAAAATAGTACAGGAAACCAATGGCAGGTTTAATATCAATAATAAACAAATAAATCACATTAATGTTCATGGAACAACTTGAGATACAATCGTATGAACAAAATTTACACTCATGGGAGATCGTGGTTAACAACTGTATCATTTAGTAAAATAATATATAATGGACAACCCATTAGCGGGTTTCTTTGTTGGAGACGGCGTTTCGATACACTTTGGTGTCGTTCCAGAAATAATATTTTTCGAAATTTGCTAGAGAAGGTTATTTATTCCCATATATATTATACTTGCAATTCACATTATGATAACCCACATGCATCATCTTGCATTTATTATAATTAAATCCATCTGCCATTTATTTGCCCAACTTACTAAACGATCTAAATCCTTTTGTAAAGCAGCAGCATCTTCTTCACAGCTAGCAACATCTAAAACATTTATATCATCTGAAAATTTAAGAAATTTGTTGACCATTCCTTTATCTATGTTACTGATGTAAATCAGAACGAGCAAAGGTCCTAAGACTGAGCCCTGAGGTACACCATTAATTAATCCAGTTGGACTGAACTCCATTTATAACAATCCTCTGCTTTCTTCCGTCCAGCCACTCTTCTATCTAATTAGCTGATTTACCCTTCATACGTATACAGACAATATTTTTAAAGGCCTTTTATGTGCCAATATGTCAAAGGCTTTCTGAAAATCCAGATATACCAAATATACACCCTTACCCTCATCTACATTAGCAGTAACGTTTTCAAAGGATGTCAAAAGATTTGTAAGCCAAGATTTTCCCTTAGTGAAACCATGTTGACTATCCAATAAAATTCTAAACTTTGTTAAATGACTTTCCAAAGCACATTTTATCAGAAGTTCCAAAACTTTTCCCACAACTGATGTAAGACTAATTGGCCTATAATTACTGGGACAATTCTTAATACCTCCTTTGAAAATAGGAGTGACATTAGCTAATTTTCAATCCTTTGGCACCCGACGCCTATTCAAGGACTTACAAAACAAAACAAAAATAGCAGCAAGTGGCTCACATATGCAATCCTTAACCTCCTTTAAAACCCTTAGGAAAATATTATCTGGCCAAGGAACTTTATAAATTTTTAAACTTCCCAAATTTGCCCGATCTTGTTTCCATCTGTCTGTCAGATTTTTAAAAATAATACATGTATATAGGTTCTGTTTGCTTGTTTTTTTGCCAATTGTCAAAATAAATGGCTTTTACTTATATTTCTTAATAGTATAAACATATACCTTACTCATTAATCCAATATTTCCCTCCTCAATCTAGCAGCAAATTTCGGGCACTGGTCAAGCAGCCTATTTTACGCTCGACTAGTGAAAGAGAGTTTTCTTGGGGTACTCCCGTTTCCCTCACAGACAATTCTAGGGTAATGGATTTATAGATCACCGCCTCCTTGAAAAGGGCCTCCAATTAAATGAAATTAATCTCTAAGTCCATAAGATTGGTTAATTTATTTTTTAAAAGACTGTTTGGAGCTGGTGTTACCAAGAGGAAAAAAAAATGAAAATGTCTGACTTCATCAATGATGACTGAGCTCCTCCTGCATTTTTCTTCAAAACGACTTTCCTCACACCACCATTAAATTTCAACATGCTCCCATACCGTAGAAATTCTCATGATGTATGTCGCAAAGCGACATGCAAAGCCAGCAACAACCACAATGGATAATTATCATCTTCCAAACTTTTAAATTTTGACAGGTTTTGAACCGAAATACCCGCCACGAACTGAATTACAACCACAGACTTAAAAAAGATTCACAAAAGTACGTCAAAACGTTTTTCTAACAAAGAAACTTAATAAACATAATATGTTCCACCCTAATGTGGAGAAATTGAGATTATTTAAGATATAATTCCAAAAAAGTACCTTAATGTATTGTTACGTATCTGCTTGTTTGTTAATTTCCCATAGAAATTCTTTCCGAGAAACTTCAGCGATACTTTCTTAATTAAAACTAGCTTATTCTTTCTCGATACAACTTTGCAATACACAGAAGTTCCACAGTCAATACGTTTGCAATATCGTTAACAAAACACACACTTTATATTACCGTCACTACCGTTCGCTTGACTCAATTATCTGTCTCTATATTTTTCTATCTGCAATCTTTATCTCCGCTTTATTTGCCGGGCTTATATAAAAAAAAAGATGGCGCCTAGAACAGACTAGAGTTGCCAGGGCAAGTCAAGATCCATTCAAGAATCTCATGACGTGTTACCAGCGTCACGTGACTTCCGCTGTTGTAACAGTATTACTAGAAAAAAAATAGATATTCAATAGTTTATTATTTAAAATGCACTAATGATACTTCTTCGAAATATACCGAGAAAATATATGGTTATCAAGCTTTTTAAAAGTTTTAAAATCTCTAAAAAATTTCCCTAAAAAGTTTGCGTTACTAGCAATCTTGACAACCAGACGAAAGATTTTTCGCATTTTTAAACCTGTAACTCTAATGCTTTTATAGCGCGGCACGTCAGTTGTAATCTAATTTCCTCCAATTAAGAAAAATATATAGCCATCATGTCTTTTTACTACATCTCCTAAAAATAATTTTACTACTGATCTTAAGGGCAAGAAATTTCTATACATTAGTTTGGAAAATTTATTCCTGTTTTTTCTTTGAAAGTGAAAGTAAAACATAAAGTAGTTATGTCTTAATATCTTTTTGATCAAAGTTGAAAAAAATAACATATTTAGGAAAGAAAACTTTTGCTTTATAAAAGTATAATAGATTTTTTAAATTTTATAACCACAAGTAGGAATGAATATACACGTAACCTAACTAGCTATAGTAATATAGAAAGTTTTAATGATACAAAAAAGCATTGAAACAAGAAAGTTAAAACTATAAACACCGAGTTACTTAAAATTAAAAAAAAAAAGTATCCGTACTTTGGCTCAGACAAACATAATTATACTGGTTTATATCCCTTTTATTAGCTATATTTTTGTGTGCCAGCAATATCAAGCGTGGGGCGCGTGTATACCCAATTCGATTTTATTACTCATTCGGATCTGTACTAAACTAGTGCATCGTCCGTTTTTTACATATATACTACAATCCTTTTCAGTACAAGAAATAAATCATTGGGACCCAAGACGGAAAAGTTCTGTGAAAAAAATTAGAGCGATAAGGTGTGTAATTTTTTCTTTACGTTTATCTGGAAAAATCACTTACTTATATTTTTAGATGAACATTTCTTTAAAATAGTGAACTTTTGATTCACTCCATAAACACGTATATTGCAATTTAGGCAGTTTTAATTTTGTTTAACCAACACTGTGAAATAGTCATTGTTAATAATCAGACATTTTAAAGGTGGTTTTAAACGGTCGATTTTTATAGCCGCCATTTTGTTTCATCACGATCCCTACTATTAAAGTACTACAGCACTTAATGATAACGACGTTTCGAGCAAATGTTTTCATTAAGTTTGATATAAGAACGAAAGACTATTGTACAATTCAAAAGTAATGCGTTTTTGCATAAATATAAGATCACCATAAACAATGTACATATAATATTAGAGAAAGAGATTAAACTGAAACCGTTGATACAACACAAACAATATAATGAATTAAGCATTAGAATCCACTGGCAATTGGCATGAAAGTCTAAATATACTGAGTATGAGACTGCGTTTTGTAAAGATGTAGAGTTTACCTGCAATAAAAATTATTGTAAGATAATTAATTGCTTATTTTAATTTCGCACAAATGTATATCACTTAGCAGGATGCAATTTATATTTTCTTTTTCAGTAACCCCCCGACCCTCCCCAGTTTCCAGGGTTTTGATACCAGTGGTTGGCGTAGCACAGATGGCCTATTGTGTACCTATGTGCTTAATTACAAACAAACGAACTTTTTCGGTAATAGGAAGCGCAACTAGAAACCTCAGCTCCACAGTCCAGTACACTAATCATTGTACCTCTTTCGGCCTCAAAACAATTATATAACCATTAATTTTCAAAAGACAAAAAAAAAGAAAACAAACATTAGACA